CTTTTGACTCAGAGTATGGAAACTGGTGCTCTCCCTTAGACAGTTGGTGCTTGTGCGACAGGTGTTGGATGCTCAAGTAGTGGGGTGTCTATCCAGGCTTAAGCTCCCTAATGAAGCTCTGGGCCATTTACCTTTGACTTACATTTTTTTGTGGTAGTATTGTCACAGCCCAAAGATATCAGTGTCATATTCCACTTTTCCTTCCAAATCACGAGTTAGTTCACTCTGAGTTTATTGACAGCTGCTCCGTATTATACCTATGTCCAATTTTATTTTGTCTTGCCATTAACTTTTTAGTACCTATCCTCACCTGCTCTATGTGAATCTCGTGGCATTTTAATTGATCCATTTTTTTCTGAGCAAATATTATGCCTTTTTTGGTAAGTTTGTGAAACTTACAAAAGGAGTATAAACCTTTCCCAGGTAATTCTGGAATTGGTTAATGATGACAACTGTGCTGCCCTCATAGATTAGATTGACATGCTTGATAGCCTTAATTGGGAGAGAGCTGTTCTAGCCTCCTAGCTGGCATGTATTTAGATCATACTCAGCTATTGAGAGCTGCTGGGGGTAAAAGGTTCTGCTCTAGGGTCATTCTCATTGAGGAAGTCAAGTAAAGTCCAGAAGTGTCTTGAGTAAGGTGAGAAGAGCAATCTTCATATACTGTGGGGTGGGAAGGAGTGGGAATGAAATGATTTCTGATGAGAGTCATAGTTGCAGGCCCATAAGTGGTCTTTGTGGCTCTTATCTCCTCAGGAAATGACAGGTTACTGTTTGGACTTTGCCTGGCTGGTGACTCTCCTTATTTCTGTAGTACACATGATCCCTTCTCTGTCCCACGGGTGATAGGAGATTCTGTCTCCATAGGCTTTTTCCATCTTCTAGAGAAAGAGCTTTTGAATGTCAGGTGGCAGAGGCCACCTGGTCCAGCAATGAAGCCACTCCACTGACATCCCTTTTCTGAAATTGCTTTGACTCCCACCCCAGCTTGGCAGTACCGATCAATTGCCATATTGTATAAGCACCATTTTGTTCCGGATGTACCTTTGTGGTTATCGTTGATTGTTATCATTGCCTGATTCAGAGAATCTTTCTTCTTGGCCTTTTTCTCTTGAATTCTAATTCAAGCCTTTCTCATCATTGCTATTTACAGGACCGTGGGCTATCACATTCTCATCTCCACCACCAACAGGTAAATAATCCTACAAACCCTCCCTGGTGCTTTTGTCCACCTTTAGATGTACTTTGGGTGTAAAAATGATAGGGTGGGGACCAGCAGTTGGCATAATGGCCATGTCACTGGACTCCCACATAGTCGACTATGGTATGAGTCCCGGACCCAGTAGCGTAAACTCAAGCCGTGTGTGTGTGTGTGTGTGTGTGTGTGTGTGTGTGTGTGCTCAAGATCCTGAAATGAGAATGGAGAAGAAGGAATTATGGCATGGCCATCCACCCTGAGGGGTGATTTCTCGTTTTCTGTCTCTTTGTCTCTGTCATTTTGGCGAGCGTCTGCCCCCTATAGCAAAAACCTCTCCAAAAAAAAATAAAAAAGGGTGAGGCTTTGAGTAGTCCATTCCTTCTGCATTCCCATGTGGTTTGGGCATCTGCACAGGGTTGTGGGACATTAGAGTCTCTGTAAACCAAATGCTTAGATGATGTTAAAATGAAGGGGCTTGTTACTTGTCTCCAGTGAGATTCTCCTGCAGTTGCTCAGCTATAATCCTCTTCCACGTGTTTTTGAGTAGCCTGTGAGGTTTCACTAATCCTGTTAGGACACTGAATTTGAGAGGTTTTAAAACCTCAGACTCTTTCTCTACTTTTTTTGAGCCCTGGGTTTCTGATAGTTGCATTGTGGGCTCTGAAAATGAATGTCGAGGTAAGGACCAAAGAAATGGAAATGTATGATGAACTTAGCAAAATGTGGGGTTCAATACAAGTACTGGCAACATTAGTAATAGGGCATATCACAAACCTCATAGACTGTAGGTTCTAATCCTGAAAAGCATTTAGCAGTCAGGGGGAAAAAATGCAAATTACAAGTAAAGAGAGGCAAGCACATCTGACCAGGCATTTAGATTCCATTTTAAAATGTGATGGGAGCAAAATCAAAAGAAGCCTGTAAGTGAAATTTTGCCCCCAGACAGCCAGCTCCTAATTTCACTAAAGGAGAAGGGAAGTGCCTCTAGCAGGGCTTATTCCATTTGGCTTTCATCACAAGTGATTTCCCAGTGACTCGAGTAGGACCTCCTTAAGAAAGGTAGACATGGGACCAGCTGTAAGCATAATGTCGCTGAATTCCCATGTAGTCGACTGCGGTTCGAGTCCTAGATGCAGTGGCTTAAACTCATGACGAGCGCGTGTGCATGCATGCTCAAGATCCCGAGAGTAGAATGGAGGAGATGGGATTGCGCTATGGCCAATCCCCTGGGGGGTGATTGCTCCCTTTCTGTCTCTCTGTCTTTCTGGCGAGTGCATGCACCCTATAGCAAAAACCTCCCCCAAAAAAGAAAAAACAAAAGGTAGACATGCTGGTGGGATCCTGTAGATCAAGCTCTGTGACATCAAATACAGATTTAGGTCTCTCACTGGGCCCTCTGACTAGCCACTGTTTGTTGGCCACTCACAGATGGCAAAAACAGAGAGACCTGGGAAGTCTCATGTGGGTACCAGGCTATAGCAACTTTAAGGAACAAAATATAGGCTCTCTACTTAAGAAAATGTCACATTATCTGAGATTGTGGAGACAACTGTGTGATAATTTCACCTTTTAATTAAACAAAAATTTAATTTTCCAGGGTCTTAGGAAATGATGAGTGCCTACTCAAGAGAGGCACACTTCCTTTTTTGTTTTGTTTTCTTTTTTCTTTTTTTAATTTTTTTCGAGAGGTTTTTGCTATAGGGCACATGTACCCGACAGAAGGACAGAGAGACAGAAAGTGAGAAATCACCCCCCCCAGGGGCGATGGCCATGCCGCAATCCCTTCACTTCCATTCTTCTCTCAGGATCTTGGGCACACACACACATGCACCCAGTGTGAGTTTAATCTACCAGGTATGATACTTGAACCGCAGTCAACTACATGGGAGTTCAACAACATAGTCAATTCGCCATCTGTTGGCTCCACAGAGACTCACTTTGTTTTCTCTGTTTCCTGCAGCATCATCACTCACCACACAATCATCCACAGAATTACCAGGTAACTTCCCTCACACAGTCTCTATCGGAGATAGAAATCCATGTCCTCGGGGTTTAGGGTTGATAACAGGAGAGAACTGGGGATTACAAGTGTCAGATCAACTTTCAGTAAACTTTCCACGTGTGATTGTGTGGGTATGGGTCCAGTTTCTGGAGGTCATGTCCTCAGTATTCATCTCTAGACCATAGCCATTTGCAAAATGAGGAGAGAGAAGTGGCATAATTGGCCCTTGTCTGGGGGGTTTTGATTCAGGGTGGAGGAGTGAGCACAGCAGGGTAATCATGGGGTCAAAGACTCCTGCTGAGCCTGGACCTGCCCCAGCCTCCTTAAGATGTTGGAAGTGCCAAGAATCAGAAGTGCACCCCTCATAGAACAAGGCACCCATGTCCCAGAAAAGAATATCCCGTAACATTTCCCTGTGTGGAATTGAACACAAAAGTGGGGGTTTGGCCTATGGCAAGTGGTTCTGGGTGCACCCAACCATCACATTCTTAAAATTACCAAAAATGCATTGAGAAATAACTGTGTGCTCTCTAGGAACTGATGCAGGTTTGGCCCTGAGGCTGGTGAATGGAGGGGACCGATGTCAAGGCCGGGTGGAGGTCCTGTACCGAGGCTCCTGGGGCACTGTGTGTGATGACAGCTGGGACACCAATGATGCCAATGTGGTCTGCAGGCAGCTGGGCTGTGGCTGGGCTACCTCTGCACCAGGTTATGCTCGGTTCGGTCAGGGCTCAGGCCCGATTGTCCTTGATGATGTGCGCTGCTCAGGACACGAGTCTTACCTGTGGAACTGTCCTCACAATGGCTGGCTCTCTCATAACTGTAACCACGGTGAAGATGCTGGTGTCATCTGCTCAGGTGGGTTTCCAAGATCATTTGGCTTCATTAAGGGGAAAGCTTATATTCAGAGAAAGCATCTTTCTCAAACCAGGGCTCACAACCAGCATCTGCTAGTTATCCAGTGGTTCTGGAATTTGCATGGGGTAACTGGCCCTGGAGTTACAAAGTCAGGTTTCCTAGTGGAAGATACTGCATACCCAGTATATGCATCTGTGCTGTGAGCAGTGTCCCAACATTGTCTTGAAGGGAACAGGTGGACCAGTATTCAGATACAGGGTCCAGTATGCTGAGCGCAGAAATGAGCCTTTCCTTCTGCTACAGGAATATTCCTTCAACCCCCACCCCTAGATTTATCTGAGGATACCTATTAGGGATTGCACCATTAGGAATGTGACTGGTAAGTCATATCCTCTCCTTGAAGACCATATTACTTGAGGTTCACAGCCGCTGATGCATAGGAAAGGATTCAAATGTCAGTTCATTTATGATACCTGAAGGGATAGAAGAGAGGTAGAGAGGTGAGGTGAAGATGTAAAGATGGTAGGTAGGGAATAATGGTGTGTGCAGATGAGCCAGGTATGCAGGGAACATTGGAGCTTAATTTCAAAAATGATCTCTAAAAATCCATGTAGAACCTCAGATCCAGTACAACTCTGCAATCCGAGGGCATAGCATCAGGGTCTTCCTCAACTCCTTGTGTAGGGTCGCTGTTTGAGCTTCCCCGGTGTGAATACAAAGGCCACTGTGCCTGTCTCTGGTGGGGCAGTGGCTTTTATTCTTTTGGAAAGGAGGCCTCAGACACAGAGAGGCAGGAATGGCAGTGGGCTGTCAGGGGCAGCTCCCTGGAAAACTGAGGGACTTATAGTGGGCTCTGGCAGCATCCACTTAGTGAACATAGGAAGAGTATCAGCTGAATGACTTCAGCCTTTGGTTGCAGTGGGGCATCTGTGTGTTTTGTGTCTAACCTGACTTCTCTTCCTCACAGCTGTCCGGCCCCAGACTACACTCAGACCAGGTGAGTCCTCAGCATTCTTACTGAGGATGTTTCTTTTCTTTCCACCCACTCAACTACTTACCCCAATTCTGTAAAGCCTTGTGTCTGTTTGTAGATGTTAGGCAGAAATTTACTATGCCACTCTGAAACTGAGACCCCCAGCAAAGGTCCTTCTTGAATAGACAGTAGGATTCAGAAAGCACTTGTCTTCTCATCAATCCATCATAGTTTTCATTCAATAACTTGGAAGCCTTTGAATTGGTAAGTCTTGCAGGTTCAGTAAAATGGGCATATATTTAATGAACTTTGGCCCTTTTATATTCAGAGGAGACATGCCTTTTCTGAGAAGTGCCATTGGTACCCTGTGACTTTCTGTTGAAGGCAATGTCAGTGCAGGCCAGATACCTCCATCCCTCACTCACTGAAATGCCTGCAGATTCTGCAAGGCCTGATTGTGTCTCAAACAAACAGGGTAGTATGCAGGGTCAAGTGAATAATATTTATTCTGATTCTCCCCTGGTAGGCTCCTTGCCCCCCTAACATTTTTGTCCCAAGTGTGGAAGAAGTGGGCAAAGGTTTTCTAACAGAAAAGGGACCATCCCAGACCTAGAGATGGAGGGGCTAGTCTTAGCTCTTGCAGGGCCTTTGTGCCATGGGTAAGCTTGCTGAGCAGGAGACTCATGCAGACACCAAGGCAGCATGTGCTAAGATCCAGCAGTGGGATCATTGTCATGATACCTGCCTGATTCACAGAACCGTTTATTCCTGGCCCCTTTTCCTTGAAGTCTCATTGAACCTTTTTCTTTGTTGCCATTTATAGACACGTGGCCTACCTCATCCTCACCTACTACCACAACAGGTAAATAATCCCATCAATTATCCCTGGAGCTTATTCTCTACATCTGGATAAACTTTTGATTTTAAATTGATAGCATGAGGTTCAGAGTGGGCCCTTTCCCTATCCATGGCATCATGTACTGGGGTGAGAGAGGGGGAGTTGAGTTATCTGAGGGCCAAGCCCTTGACCCAATGTTGGTTTGGAGGGTGCTATTGTTCTGTCTCTAGTGGGATTCTGGTCCAGGTCTTCTGGACTAGCCCAGGATTGGCCTCACCTGGTTCTCAGGATATGTGGTGCAGCATCAGGAAGAGTGTGAGAGCCTATGCCTTCAGCTCTGTGGCCAGGGTCCTGATATCACTGGCATCTTTCCAGAACCCATCCAGTACCATGTAGGTGGCAGTGAGCTCTGAATCATGGGGACACAGTCTGGACCTTCTGTCTCTCTCTGTGGAGCTCTAACTGTGTGTTCCCAGAGTGCGAATGAGGTGAACATTCCTCTCACCTCTATTGGTGCTTCTCCATAACTCAAACATCCTTAGTTAAAAAAAAAGATGTCATCACTGTTCCTGTCATTCTTGTAAAGATGAAACTCTTGTTCTTTTAAATGTACTTCCTGTCCAGGAGACTTTTAACCTTAGTTGTTGGAAATACTCTAAGTGCTAGACCTCAATATAAAGACAGATGAAGGGTTCTTATGTCCACTGTGGAATCCAATGTGGGTTTGGGCCCAAGACATAGTGAATTTCATTGGATCTGGAGGTGGGAGAGTAGCCACACAACATCTGGGTATGATATGTGACAACCATCTGGGACAGATTCAGTCCAATGGATAGCAGTGAGCAGAGGTGAGGCCATCCTGTAGTAAAAGGTTTTTCCTCAGCCTGGGTTTGGCATGAGCATGCTAACGAGATTGGAAGAGGTGACTGAGGTTTGCCCCTTACAGAACAGGGCACCCACGGTCTAGGAAGGTAATGAGATCTGCTTCTATTTCTCAATGTGGACTTTTAACACCCTCGAGGAAATTTGACCACTAGGAAGTGTTCTTGGCTGCACACCACCTATACAAGCTAGGCTGTAACACAAAATGAAATAAAAAATAATTGTATCTCTGGCAGGAAATGATTCTAGTTTGGCCCTGAGGCTAATTAATGAAGGTGACCGGTGTCAGGGTTGAGTGGAGGTCCTGTACCAAGGCTTCTGGGGCATCATGTGTGATGACAGCTGGGACACCAATGATGCTGATGTGCTCTGCAGAGAGCTGAGCTGTGGCTGGGCTACCTCTGCCCCAGGAAATGGCTGATTTAGACAAGGCTCAGGCCAAATTGTCCTTGATGATGTGCGCTGCTCAGGACATGAGTCCTACCTGGGAAACTGCCCCACAATGGCTGACTCTCTCATAACTGTGGCTATGGGGAAGATGCTGGTGTAATCTGCTCAGACATTGGGGCTTTCTTCTTCATGTGTAGTCTGTTTGGAAAGTTGTTCTTTCTATACTCTAATTCCCTCACTAAAAGTATTTTTCCTTTTTCTCTTTTCAGTTTATTTAAGCTGTTCCTTGTTGAGGTAGATTTTTAGGACAATGAGTCAATGTGAACATAACAAACAACCTTTATTCACCTGAGGCATATAAGCCAGAGATGGAAGAGAAAATCACTGACTTTGCTGTGGGTCATGTTTCTCCCATGATTGGTACTGGGTGGCATGAGGTGGATACAGTGCCCTTGGGGGTTTCGGGATAGTTTCATGTCACTGGCAGGAGCAGCAAACAAAAGGCTCTTGTTGTAAAGGGGGTCTTCAGCCAAAGAGGTTTTCATTAAGGGAGGAGTCTCTGAATGAGCACATGGGCTAGGAAGGCAGATCTGGGTATCCGTTTGACTTGCCCATGTTCAGGAGCCATGAGTCCTTGACTGCACCTCCCTCCAAACAGCTGTAATGTACGACTGAGCCACATCTGGTGTTTAAATGACTAGCCTCATCGGATCTGCCTGGCAAAATCTTATTATTGATGTGGTCAGGCCTGGAAGATCATACACAGGACTTGGGCCAAGGGCTAGACTTCTCCATATTGCTGACTCAGTGCTCCACTGAAAACCACAAAGAAGAGGATTAGTGTGTGACAACTCAGTTGCCACATTCAGAGACCATGTCAGTCACTTTGACATTGGAAATAATGGACAGGATCTGTCAGGGCACATAACAAAGATTGTCTTTCTGAGGTTGTGGATGGTGGTGGATTCAGATAGATGGCTGGATGTTCATCTTGCTCATTTTCTTTCACCTTTTTCCAGTTTTACCATCTTCTGTGTAATGTATCTGGTCACCTTCTCTTTTCACAGCTGTCCAGAGCACAACCTCACGGAGGCCAGGTGAGTCCCACTGCTTCTTAACTCATGAGTGTCTCCTCCCACCATGTTTACCTCAACAATCCTCAACTAGTAGCTACAGGACAGGAGTGTGGAGGTTTTCTGCTGCTCCAGAACTTTCCCCAAGCCTTTAGAATTTGTAGATATTTCCAACTGAGCCAACAACACACTGGTTCTCTCATCTGTTTCAGTGGGATAAGACTGTTCCTGCCCCTGCCTTGGATTGCTCACTGAGTGCTTTTGATGGCAGAAGGAGGCTCAATCTGGGCTGCTGCTTCTGGAAAACTTGTCTGGGCCAAGAGGCACATGGATGAAGTTTAGTGCAGAGAGCAGAGCTTTCTCATTTCATAGACCCCACACAAAAAGTAATGTTTTTACCAAATATGATCTGTCAGGAGAGAATTGAGAGTGCCTTTTACTGTTGCATCACCTCATTGCCTTTGCTGTAGTCATTTAAAGTCTTAAGTTTGGTCTTTGCCAGCTCTCTAGAAAACATATCTTTCTTTCCTAGCCACAGAGCTGCTCTGACTCCTCTGTTACTGTTCCCAGTTATATGACACAAGATCCAACCTTGATTCTTTACCTCCCTCCTTTCTAATCCTGCCTTGTTTTTTCTGCAGATTGGTGGGATACAACTCCTCCCTATGGTAAGCATCTTTAGATTCTGCCAAGGTATCATATTCAACACTTTAGTCAATAGGCCTGGGGAAATTCTTGGATTGTGCATGAAACTTCTGTTTGCTCAATGCCTCATCCAATGTGGAGGGATTCCTTAACTTTGTACTGTAGTTGTGAATTTTACTTTAAAAAGTAGTATATGTTGGGACACTTGTATGCACATGACAGCAACCCAGTTCAAAGTCTCCTGAGCAGTAGACTGACTACCAGTTAAGACTAGCATGATGACTAGTAAACTGGTAACCAAGGTGGCACTTATTTTAGGACAAACATACAGAATTAGTTAAACCTAGAAACCAGGTAGGCGTCTAAATACCAACTTGCTGATTAGGACTGTTAACCAGAGTGGCAGCTATTTAGACCAAACTCAGAGAACTAGTTAAGGTTAGTAACCTGCTAAGCAGTTAAATTCCATTTTATGACTAGTTAATAAAGGTAACCAGGCAGGCTACTAGTTAAGACCAATGTGACTATTTAGGGCTAACAACCAGATAGGCTACTAGTTAAGTGCAACATGACAACTAGTTAAGACTGATAACCTGATAAGTTACTATTTAAGTTCAACTCAATGACTAGTTAAGACAGTTAATGAAGGTGGCACCTATTTAGGGTAAATGTAGGAAACTAGTTAAGGTACAAATCTGGTAGGCTATTGAATATCAACTTGGTGACTAGCTAGGACTGGTAACCAGGTAGGCTACTAGTTAAAACCAACTCAACAACTAGTTAATATTAGTAACCTGGTGGACTACTAGTTAACTACAACTCTAAGACTAGTTAAGAAAGGTAACCAGACAGGTTATCAGTTAAGATCCACATGATGACTAATTAAGATGGATAATCAGGTATGTTATTAGCTAAGACCAAATTGATAACTAGTTAAGATTGGTAACCAAGTTGGTGACTACTTAGAAATGTGGGGAACTAGTTAGGCTCAAAATCTGGTCTGCTATTTAATACCAACTTGTAGTCATCAGAAGGAAAGTGATTAAGAGGAAACTTCAAGGATGTGAAGGATTCTGGATAAATTGAATTAACAGGATTCTATAGCATGATAGGTTTAATTTAACAGTTGAAGCATTAATATAGTAACTACTTCGTACTGTTTAAATTAATTCACAGCAGGAAAATGTTAGATTTCTTATAAAAATTTTTAAATTGTAATAATTACTATATTTTATATATTCACTGTATATCATTTAGCTTGTACAGAGAATTTACCAAAAATGAAATACACCTCAGTAGTTGAATATATTATATAATCACATATATCTTTTTTTTTTTTTTTGAGAGGTTTTTGCTATAGGGCGTGTGTGCTTGCCAGAGAGAGAAAGAGAGAGACAGACAGAAAGCGAGAAATCACCCTCCAGGGGGGACGGCCACACCGCAATCCCTTCTCCTCCATTCTCCTCTTGGGATCTTGGACACGCACACACACCTGGCATGAATTTAAGCCACCAGGTCTGGGACTCAAACCACGGTTGACTACATGGGAGTCCAGTGACATAGCCATTACGCTAACTGCTGGTCCCAATCACGTATATCTTTACAGTGTATAACAATGCTTTTCTCAGCATGAATACTATGCATGTCAGTCAAGACAAAAACATTACTGTATACATTATCATCAACAAACAGCTTTTCATTTTTTTGTCAATTAAACATAATTTTTTCTTCTCGTGTTCCCCTCCCTCTCTCCTCCTATTACCCATCCTTGTATTACCCCTATCCTTACTATCTCTAGTATCTACTGTTGTCCTCTCTGCTATTATACCTCCCAAACTTTCAGTTTCTGCTATAGAGCACAGATAATCAGTATATATTGAGTGACAACATACAAAGTCTGTCTTTCATAGCCTGGCTTGCTTTGCTTAGCATTAAGTCTTCCATATACGTCTACTTTGTATCAAATGTCGGGGTCTCTCTGTAGAGTACATATGTCACGTATTTTCAATCTAATCATGTATTTTTGGCCATTCGGTTTGATTCCATGTCCTAGCGATTATAAATAATGCTACAATAAACCTAGATGTGCAAGTGTTTTTCTATCCTTTGGGTAAATACCTAAAAGTAGAATTACTGGGTTGTATGGTAGTTCTATTTGTAGGTTTCTGAGGAATCTCCATGTCATTCTCCAAAGTGATTGTACTAATTTGCATTCCCACCAACAGTGTAGGAGAGTTCCCTTATCACCACAGCCTCACCAGCTCTTATCATTATTTATTTATTTTTAATTTTAGCCATTCTGACTGGGGTTAAGTGGTATATCATTGTGGTTTTGATTTGCATTTCTCCCATGACAAGAGATGTCAAGCATATTTTCATATACTTTTGGGTCATTTGTATGTTTTCTTTGGAGAATTGTCTGTTCGGTTCATTTTCCCATCTTTTAATTGAATTGATTATATATATTTTTTGTGGATAAGCTGCTTGAGTTCCCTTGATATATTGATTATATATATTTTTTGTGGATAAGCTGCTTGAGTTCCCTGTATATTCTGGTTATGAGTCCTTTATCTGAGGTATAATTTGCAAATATATTCTCCCATTCTGAGGGTTGTCTTCTCACTCTACGTACTGTTTCTTTTGCTTTGCAGAAGCTTCTCAGCCTAAAATAGTACCATTGTCTATTTTTGGGACTATTACCTGTGTTTTGGAGTTCTTCTTTAATAAGTCTTTGCTGACTCCAAGGTTTCCAATAGTCTTCCCAAACCACAAAAATAGTTTTCCACCAGTATTTTTGTAGTTTGAAGTTTTATGTTTAGATCCTCAATACGTTTTGAGTTATTTTTTGCTAGCAGTGAGAGATAAGGATATAGTTTCATTCTTCTGCAGGCAGATATTCAGTTCTCCCTGCACCATTCTGAAGATATTTTCTTTTCCCACTGGGTTGTCTTGTGCTCTTTGTCAAGGATTAGTTGGCTATATGTTTTGGGGTTTATTTGGAGGCTCTCAATTCTTAATCATGAAGGGATGTTGTATTTTATTGAATGTCTTTTCTGCATCAGTTGATATGATCACATGGTTTTTTATCTTTCTTTTTGTTAATGTGATATATTACATTTATTGTTTTTTATATGTTAAACCATCTTTGCATCCCTAGAATTAAGCCTATCTGGTCATGGTGTATAATCTTTCTAATACGTTGTTGAATACAATTTGCTATTATCTTGTTGAGAAATTTTGCATCCCTATGGACCTGAAGTTTTCTTTTTTGGTTGTGTCCTTGTCTAGTTTTGGAATTAAGATGATGGAAGCTTCATAGAATGAATTTAGGAGGGTTCCTTCCTTTTGAAGTTTTAGAAATAGTTTAAGGAGTATTGGAGTTCCTTCTGGAATTTTTATTGCTGTTGTTATTTCAGTTCCCTGAGTTGTGTTGTTAGGTTGCTCATTTGCCACTGTTCTGCTTTTTCTTGTGGGCACTAATTGCTATGAACTTCCCTCTTATGACTGCTTTTGCTGTGTCCCACAGGTTATAAACACTTGTTTGTTCATTATCCTTGGTTTCTATGAACCTTTTGATTTCAGTCTTAATTTCTTCTGTAGTTGTAAAGTCATTCAGGAGTAGATTGTTTACTTTCCATGTGTTTGTGAATTTTCAAGGGCTTTTTCTGTAGTTGATTTCAAGTTTGATTCCATCATCATCAGAAAAGATGTTGGATAGAGTTTCTATAGTTTTGAATTTGTAAAGGCTTGTTTTGTGCCCTATCATGTGGTCAATCTTCAGAATGTTCCATGTGGTGGTGAGAAAAATGTATATTTTTATGGTAGTTGGGTGAAATTCTCTGTAGATGTCTGTCAAAGCCATATAATGTATGATATCATTTAGGTCTTGTATATTTTTGTTTATTTTTTTGTCTAGATGATCTGTTCAGAGGAGACAGTGAGGTATTGAGATCTGCTACAATTACTGTGTTGCAATCTATCTGTCCCTTGAAACTAACAGTTTCTCTTTGATACATTTAGGTGCTCCAGTGTTGGGTGTATATTTACAAGTGTTATGTCTTCCTTTTGAACAAGTCCTTTTAGTACTATACAATGTCCTTCTTTGTCTCTTCTTACATCTTTCATCTTATGTCTAGTTTGTCTGATATCAGTATCCCAACTCCAGTCTTATTTTGGTTTCTAATTGCATGGAATATCTTTTTCCAACTCTTCACTTTCAGTCTATGTATGCCTTTATCAGTGAAGTGTGTTTCTTTTTTTCTTATTATTTTTTTGGAGAGGTTTTTGCTACAGGGGATGTGTGCTTGCCAGAAAGAGAGAGACAGAGAGACAGAAAGCGAGAAATCACTCCTCCAGGGGGGATGGCCATGCCGCAATCTCTTCTCCTTCATCTCCTCCATTTTCCTCTTGGGGCCTTGGGCATGCACACATGTGCACCCGATGTGAGTTTAAGCCACTGGATCTGGAACTTGAACCGTGATCGACCACATGGGAGTCCAGCAACATAGCCATTACGCCAACTGCTGGCCCCCCGAAGTGTGCTTCTTATAACAGCATATAGATGGCTTCTGTTTTTGTAAACACTTAGCCAGCCTAAGGGGATTTAATCCATTAACATTCAATGTTATTATTGATATTTGTGGACTTATCCCTGTCATTTTGTTAGCCACTTTCTCAGTTGTTTTTGTTCTCTTATTTCTGTATGTGTTTATTTAGTTATCCTGATACAACACTCCCTTAAGTACTTCCTGCAAAGCTGGTTTAGTATTGGTGAATTCTTTCAGTTTTTGCTTATCTGAGAATACTTTTATTTGTTTTTCCCCTTTGAAGAATAATCTTGCTGGATATAGTATTATTGGTCAAAATTGTTTTTCTTTTAATGTTTTGAATACATCTTCCCATTATTTCCTTGCCTGTATTGTTTCAGTTGAGAGGTCTGATGTAAGCCTAATGGAATAACCTTTATAAGTAATTCGACATTTCTCCCTTGCCGTTTTTAGAATATTGTCTTTGTCTTTAATTTTTACCAATCTGGCTATGATGTGCCATAGGAGAGGACTTTTGTGTTGATTTTATTTGGGATTCTTTTTATTTCTTGCATCTGAATTTTTCCACATTTCTCTATATTTGGAAAATTTTCAGATAGTATAGTATTTTATACAGAGGTTTTCCATGGCTTTAGCAGTTTCTTCACCTTCTGGAGTACCCATTATATGGATATTTGGGCATTTCATGGTGTCTAGAATTCCCTGTATGTTGTCCTTTTGTTTTTGGTTGTTTTTTTTTCATTCTTTTTGGTGATTTGGTCTGTGTTGGAGACTTTGTCTTCAAGGTCAGAAATTCTTTCTTCTGCATGGTCCAATCTGGTATTAATGCTTTCTAGGGAGATTTTAATTTCTTGTTTTAAAAAGAAATTTTTGCTGTAGGGTACATATTTTCACTGGATAGACAGACATGGAGAGACAGAAAGTGAGAAATCACTTTCCAGGGGAGATAGCCATGCCACAATCCCTTTTTGTCTAGTCTTGTCTTGGGATTTGGTGCATGCATACACATACACCCATTGTGAGTTTTAAGCCACCGAGTCCAGGATCTGAACTGTGGTCAGTCATGTTAGAGTCAAGTTACATAACTATTACGTCATCTGCTGGTCCCACTTTCTTTCGGTCTCTAGTGTATGTAGGTTTTTCGGGCTTTGCCCACAACACATCAGTTCTCTTTTTTTTTTTTTTTTTTTTTTTTGTGAGGTTTTTTGTATTGGGGGGTGCATGTGCCCACCAGAAAGACAGAGAGACAGAAAGCGAGAAATAACCCCCCAGGGGAGATGGCTATGCTGCAATCCCTTCTCCTCCATTCTCCTCTCGGGATCTTGGGCACGCACACACATGCTCAGGGTGAGTTTAAGCTGCTGGGTCTGGGACTCAAACTGTGGTCGGCTACATGGGAGTCCAGCAACATAGCCATTACGCTAACTGCTAGTCCTAGCATTTTTACATATGCCTCTTTGTTGTTCGTATATCTTCCTTAGAGAGATATTTATTCAGCTCATTTTCCCATCTTTTAATTGGGTTGATCATTTTTTTGGGGGTAAACCACTTGAATTCCCTGTATATTCTGGTTATCAGTCTGAAGCATAGTTTATAAAAATATTCTCCCATTCCAAGGACTATTGATTCTCTAATTACTGTCTTTTGCCATGTAGAAATTTCTTAATCTGTTGTAATCCCTCTTGTCTATTTTTGGAATTACTGTGCTTTGGGGATCGAGGTAGGCAAAGACTTCTTGAATAAGACTGCCCTCCTTTCTTATTCTGCCTTGTTTTCCTTTCCAGATTGGTGGCATACAACAACTCCTTCCTATGGTAAGTATCTTTAGATTTGAACAATGATTCAACACTGTAGTCAATAGGCCTGGGCAAAAATTCTGGGTTGTGTGCGAAGCTTCTGTTTGCTTTAAACATCATCCATAGTGGAGAACTTCCTTCACTCTGTAGCTGTGAATTTTACTTTAAATGAGATTTATAAATAGGGTTAGAACACCTATTTGTAAGTGACAGGGACCCAACTCAAGGTCTACTAAAATGTGAAAGAATTCCTTGCTAATGTTATCTAGAATATTTGGTGGTTAATCTGGAGCTTCAGCCATTGCTGGATCTCAGTGTTCCAAGTCTGTTTCC